GCCAAGGGGGCCTGGTCGGGGGCGAAGATGAACGAGGGGCGCTGGGGGATGACCTCTGCGAAGCCGGCGGCACGGGCCCAGCTGCGGGTGAAGGAACGTATGCTGTTGACGCCGCCCAGGTCGGCGACGGCGGCGAGGTGTCGCGTGACGGAGGAGCGTCGGCGGCGGCGGCGCAGGCCCCCTGTCTCGCTGTCCCTGTGCTCATCGTTCTGGTAGTCCTGGTCGCCGTCGTCGAGGAGCGACTGGTCCTCGGCGACGGCGTTGGAGTCGATGCTCACGGAGCGTGGCGAGGCGCCGCGTTCGTAGTCATCCCAGGTGGCGGGGACCCTGGAAGCCATGGAGAAGGGCGGCACGGGCGGGCGTTTCGTGGTTCGAGACGGGCCGGATGCTTCTCTGTCGCGTGGTCGGGCGGCGGTTCTTCGTCGACGGGGCGGGGGACGGGCGGAGGAAGCGCGGGCAGGCAGGATTGGGTGGAGGGAGGTGGAGGCAGGATAGCTCGACAGACGCGACGAGACGAAGTCCCAGTAGGAAAGACTTTTCTGTCGACGTGGTATCGCAGCTGGGAGGGTTAGGGGGGGGGGGGGGGAGAAGGAGGCGGCGGCGGGGTTCTGTCGAGGAGAAAATCACCAAATGGAAGGGAGAGGAAAGGAGAGGACGACGATGGTGGCCTGGCGTGTGCCTCGTGCTTTCTTTCCGGCGTCTCGTGTCTCGATCCGATCCGCCGTCTCGCCTCGATCCCTCTTTTCTCGTCTTCTCGCGTCGCAGGCGTCTTGAATGACCTACCTATCTACGAAGCGGAGCCCCGACCGGCGCAAGCGCAGCAACAAGCGCAGCAACCCTGGCGCCGCCCCCAGCGCAAGATTAGCTCCGGAGGTGAGATGCAGCAGGTCGGTCATTCCGCCTCGATTCGAGGACTGGCTGCCTTGTTTCGTGCTTTTTGTCCTGCCTGTCTTTGCCTGTTCAGTGCTGCTGGTCATGTCCTGCTGGCCATGTCCTGCTTGTCTTGCCTTGCTCGTTATGCCATGCTCCAGCCCTGCTCGTCATGCCATGCTTCAGCCATGCCATGCTCCAGCCGTGCTCCTTCTTGTCGCCCCTAACCATAGCCCCCCCAGCTTATCGCGGGCTGCCCACACGACCAAGGACCCAGGGCCCAGGGCCCAGGGCCCAGACCCAGGCGGCAAAGGCGACAAGGTGGGACGGGCGAGACGGGGAGCCGGACGCTTGCCGGTCCATCACGTCGTGGCATGGGCATGACAGCCGAGAGACTGATTCATGGCCATGCGCCCACGGCCGTCGCTGGCCGTTCCGTCGTTGTGCGTGCCCAGATTATGTTCGTCGTGCGTGTCCAGGCGTTACGTCGTCGTGCGTGTCCAGGCGTTACGTCGTCGTGCAGATGGGCATCACGAGACGCGCTGAAGGCCCCTAGAAGCTCTCCCCTAACACCCCCTAACACCCCCCCCCCCCTAACGCCCCCCCCCCAACCCCCCGGCCGCATGTTCACTAAGACCCCGGTTGCCCCGCCTGCGACGCCTCTGCTGCCCTCCAGCGCCCGCTACGCCCGCTGTGTCATGCCACAACCCTCATCATTGGCCAATGCCTCGTCCTCGTCTCCCACTCTGCACCCAATCACCTGTCTGCATCGTTCAATCTCGAGACCGATAAGAGTGCCCCTCTCGTACCGACCTAGGTACTTACCTAACCTTCGTAGGAAGATACCTGGGTAGGGTCCTTGATCCTTTGCTTCGGCCACTGGGAAGAGGAAGCACGAGAAGCGCAACGAAGCTTTCTGTATCGCGACAACCCTTCCCTCCCTCACCTCGTCTTTCATCGCCTTCCCTCACCTCGCCTTCCCTCCCACGATCGAACCGGTATCCCTCTTCCGACACACACACCACACGTACACCCACAACATGCCACCACCCTCACCCAGCGACAACGACGCCCAAACCGCCGACGCCGCCGACGCCCTGGCCTCCGTCCTGCACATCCTCGACCGCTTCCACCACCGCCACAGGAACCAGCATCGCGTCGCAAAGTGGTGGGTGCAGTTCACCCTGCTGCGCCGCGCCCTGCGCCGCCTCGACGCCGCCATCCTCGCCCACCAACGCCGTCTGCGCACCTCCTCCTCCTCCTCCTCCTCCTCCTCCTCCTCCTCCTCCTCCTCCTTCGCGGCGGCGGCCGCCCGCGCCCGCCTGCCCAAGAACAAGAACAAGAGCACCGACAACGGGGGACCCAGGCCCAGTCGACGAGCGCCGACCGCCCTCGCCACCACCGAGGCCGCCGTCACGGCCCACGCCCGCTGGCTCGTCCTCCACGTCATCTCCCCCGCCTACCTCGCCTTCACCCAGCTCGCCGCCGACGGCCAGCACGCGCCCCTCGGCCTGCTCCTCGTCGCCCTGACCGCCCGCCTCGACGCCCGCCTCGCGCCCCTGAACCCGACCCCGAGGTCCCCCGACGCTGCTGCCGCTGCTGCTGCTACTGCTGCTGCTGCCGTCGTCCGCGTCGCGTCCGCGTCGAAGCCCGCCCCCGAGTCCAACGGGGACCTCGACCTCGGCGTCGCCGTGGCGCGCCCGCCGCTCGCGCCCGACGTCGGCCATGACGTCCGTCGTGACGCCGACAGTGACGCCGACCCTCTCGACAGCCGCACATCGCCGCCTCGCCTGTCACCGACATTGTCACCACGCAGAAGAGACCCCCCTGCAGCAACCGCACAGCTCCCCCTCTCCTCCTCCTCCTCGGAACCTCTGCTCAACCCAATACCCAAATCCAAATCCAAATCCACATCCAAACCCACATCCAAACCTCACCCCTCCGTATCCAAACCAGTCGAGCCCAAGAAGAAGAAGAAGAAACCCAAAGGCGGCGACGAGTTTGCAGACCTCTTCAGCTCCCTCTTATAACCCTCCCTCGACGTACATGACATGACCAGTATGCGTGCAGGGTTTAATAACACTCAATTGATACCGAGAATACAAGTTTCCTTTGCCTTGACCACCGTCACACCGCGAGTCGCACTCTCACTCAAACTCACACATACGCAGCGCACACAAACACACACACACACCTAGTTCCCCCTTCAAACCTAATCTTCGCCTCTTTCTCGAGGGCTCTAACCAGACGGAGCGGAGGGTGGTTGTCGGCCGTGGCCCGCTACCCCGTAGCGGGCCACTGGGGAAAAAAACCTCTCCGCTCTCCGTCCGATAGAGTGCCCTCGGTCAAATAATCCCATCAAGACCTTGACGCCGCCAGCCCCGCCCTTTGCCATGCCCAGTTCGCTACCAACGTCACGCGTCCCCCTGACGCTGGCAAAAAACAAGAATGAGCTCCTCCTCACAGCCCTCTTCCCCTTTACTGCAGGCTGCGGTACGACCAGATACGGGCCCTCATGTCGCCCGATCCCGTAGCAAAGTACCCGCCAGTTGGGCTTGGCGCCACAGAGATGACAGAGTTCTTGTGTCCCTGAAGCATGAGCTGCGTGGCACCTGTGCGGGGATCCCAGAACTGCACACCCCTATCCTTGGAGCCCGACATGACCCATGCGGCATCGGGTGTTAGAGCCACGGACAGCACAAAGTCCTGCCGTTCAATGTTAGCCAGAGTACAGAGACAAGGGAAGCTCCACGCAAAAAAGGCACGCCTGGTGCGCGTGGCGGATACGTACCCTGTGGCCCTCGAAAGACTTGACGCAACGACCGCCCTTGGGGCCGGGGTTGGGAAGACCCCGTGGTGTCGACAGCTCCCACATCTTGATCGTCTTATCGAGACTGCCGCTGACGAGGTCCTTGCCATTGGGCGAGAAGGCAACGCTGTAGACGCTATCCTTGTGACCGTCGGGTCCCTCGAGGCGCTCGAGGAGGTAGCCCTGGTGGATATCCCAGACGCGGACGCTCTTGTCGAGTGACCCCGCCGCGACGTACTTGGTGTCGGGAGAGATGGCAACAGTCGTGACGCCGTCTTCTATGGTGAGCGTCAGGGTGTTGCTGCCGGCCTCTATGTCCCACAGACGAACGGTCCTGTCGCCACTGCCGGAAGCGATCGTACGACCATCACGGGCAAAGTCGAGCGAGTAGATATCTTGCTCGTGACCTGAGAACGTGTTGCGGATCGTGCGCGTCTGAATGTCCCAAACCTAGAGAGAAGTGCCGAGTCAGTTCAGATGCCTACGTCAACCAGACACCATGCTAGAAATGAACGTACCCTAATCAGCTTGTCCTCGGCACCGGTTGCCAAGTACTTGCCGTCGGGGCTGAAGCACACGCTTCGAATGTAAAGATCTCCAGAGACGTCGGCGGTTTCGTCCTGGAGAATGCAGAGCTTCTCGCCAGTCTGCACGTCGTAGATCTGCGCGGATCGATTGCATCCGGTGGCCACGTACTTTCCGTCGTGGCTGAAGCGAACACAGCACACGACACTCTCGTGGCCGAGGGTGTGGACGAGATCGACGTCGATCATGCGAGGAACGCGCTCGTTGTACACGACGAACCAGTCATAGCCCGACTTCTTGGCCGATGACGGCAGGCGATCAATGTCCAGGTCGCCCAAAGCGTTGCCCACCGGAGGAGCGGGAGGGGGAGGATGGGGGTTGCCCATGCGCGCGTGGTCGGGCGTCGGGTGGCTGACCTGGGGCGACTGGGTAGCGCCTGGGAAGGGAATCGGGGTGTTGATCTGCGGGGTGGCCGGTCCCACGCCGCCAGGAGGACGGCCGATTCCGCGCCTACCGGGGCCAGGAGATGCCGTGCTCTGCGGGGGCTGGGCACCGATACCGCCAGGAACGGGACCCTGGGGGTAGGGTGCCTGCTGAGGCGGCTGCTGCTGCTGCTGCTGTTGCTGCTGCTGTTGCTGCTGCTGCTGCTGCTGCTGGAAGTGAGGAGGCTGGGACTGCGGCGGCGGAGGGGGAGGGGGGGCAGGCAAGCCGGGAGGGCCCTGAGGCATCTGGTGCTGCTGGGGTCCCATCTGCTGGTCCTGGGGAGGAGGGGGAGGGGCGAGGCCGCCCTGGCCGCCGCCCGCCATTATGCCGTTGAACAGACCATTGCCCGAGGGAATGGAAGGAGGCTGTTGAGAGGGTGCGTTGTGGGGAGGCGGGCCGCTGTTCATGCCGGGAGGGGCATTTCCGCCGCGACTAATCTCGAGTTGCCGGCGGAGATGAGCCAGCTCTTCTTCGTACCTAGTGATGGTAGTGTCAGTCACACGAGGCGGACCAAGACCCCATGAGCTCGACGAGTGCCTACTTTTGCTTGAGGTTCAGGTGCATCTGCTCCATGTTGAAGACCTTTTCACGGACATGTTGCATTTCGCTGACCTGGGCCTGGACTAATGGGCTACTGTTAGTGCATCTGAGCATGTCTAGAGAGGGGGGGGGCAGAGAGAGAGCAGGGAAAGAAGGCAGGGGCGCCGCAGCCGTCTTGTCTCGTCGAGAGATGCGGCGTGGGGAAGGAGCGTACTCTGGTGCTCGTAAGCCTCGGTGGTGCGGCTTTGCGAGCTGAACTCCGTCCGGATCTGCTCGAGAAGCTCCTCGAGGCGAGACTGGTTGACGGGGGGCGCTGCACCGCCCATGGCGCGATGAGGATACATGGACATGGTGGAGGCGGACGCGGACGTGAACGCGACGACGATCGTGTCGAGGGACAAAGGCGAAGGGGCGATCAATCGAAGGGGTGCTACGGATAGGCGTCGCGCAAAGACCTTCGGGGAGGGGAGGGGGAGGGGAGCGCGAAATGCGTCGTTTGTTGATGACACGCTGACCGACGAGGTGGACGTACAGCTCGGCGACGGGTCGTAGGCGAGCAAACAGCAAAAGAACGGGCTTAGGTGTTCAGCTCGTCAAATTGGCGTGCGCGAAACGCCGCGTGGGGATAGCAGACGGTTGGGTCGATGATGACAGGCCCCTGGGCGCTGTCTGTTGAGGTGTTGAACAATGATGCGCGTGGGGATGGCGATGCCGGGATGCGTATTGATGCCACGATGGGATGGGGGTGTAGAGGTGAAAAAGTTGGGTTGGGCCGAGCTGGGAAAGAGGTTGGAGCACGCACGACCGTGGAGCAGTCAGTAGCAGCAGGCTGGGCTGGGAGAAGAATCTGGGAGCCTGGCCTGGCGTGTGGGTTCTGTGAATTGACGGCGGAAAGGCAGAAGGCACAAG